AAAGGAAGGACTAATTGAAAATAAAGTAAGAACTATGGGTGTTGGTCTTTAAGCCATAGTAGCACCCATTAAATATGTATTATTAATTGCATGTGATGCATCACATAAATCCTGATTTAATAGAATGTGCATTGTAGGAGAAAACTTCAAACTGGCTGAAAGGATATATGACAACAGGCACAGAGTGATTAAAAGAGAAATTATCCACTCTGCCTTCTTTTTTGCTACACTGGGGAGGAAGAGAAAGAGGAGCAGGCTGATGCTTAAGAAAAGTCATAAATACTCCCAAGGAATACATACAGTAGTAGCAACTTCAAGGGAAATATTTAAACAACTTCTGTTTCCTCCAGCTGATGATTCCTTCAACTACAAGTCTTTCTTCTCCATGGTTGGTTTATCCAGCAAAACTCCTGATCAGATAAAGAAAGTTTTTGGCATCCTGGATCAGGACAAGAGTGGTTTCATCGAAGAAGAAGAGCTTCAGTAAGTACCATTCAGCTCCTGTATTTCTCTAAACCATGCAAACCTCTGAACATGCTTGGTGTCCTAGAATAAACTTGCTGCTATTTTAATAACAAAACAAAATTCCTTGTCTTCCCTCAAATCTGTGTGGATTTCCTCAGATAATAAGAGCAGGCAGTACCCTATGCTGGTTTTGGCATGGGTTTAAGAAAACCAGAAATACCAAGGAGATTTCAGAGAACAAAACTGAAGCACAGTACTCTACCCTGTTCTATTTCAGGCTGTTTCTGAAGAACTTCTCTTCGAGTGCCAGAGTCCTCACCTCCGCAGAGACCAAGGCTTTTCTGGCTGCAGGTGACACTGATGGCGATGGCAAAATTGGAGTGGAAGGTAAGACTCTTTGAAACCTCATCAAATTTGTGCTTTAAAACGCATGTGTTTAGGGCTGTATTTAAACTGTGGCACAAAGAATACAGCCAGGTACTTTGGCCTGGTACTTTCTGCACAATTTTTAGACTAGTGAATAGTCCTTATTTTCATAGCTTTATTCCCATTTTGTCTGTGTTGCAGCAACAGCATATTTATGCCCACTGTATAGCCTGTGCTTCCAATCGCTAACAACAGGTTTGGGTTTGGGTTTGCCATGTATCTGATCCAGAGCCTCAATGTGCCAGAGTTCTAGAACATCCTGAACACCTATTCGTTTGCTGAATTGCCATTTCAGCAGTGGATACTTTGCATTTCTGGCCACATTCATTTTTAAACACACTTCCACCAACACAAATTTATTTCTTCATCTGCTACTATCAAACATTGGCCAATATTACTGAGTGGTTAATTTGGTAATGTAAAATATGACTGGCATTGTTTTTTAAGGCTAGAACTGCTGCAATGCAGCACATAATTTTATGCTGGAGAATTATCTGGTAAGTGCAAATTTCACTGGGCAGTCCTTCTGTGAGAAACTATATCAAATTCCTAAAGAAAACCTCACAGGGATGATGTGAACTGGCCAGAATATTTATTTTAGAAATTGCAGCAAAGGAAAAAATAGGACATTATGGATCATGTATTAGAGATGAAGTCACTGAAAACAGGGCTGTCTCAGCTGAACTAGGACAGGTGGCAATAACTCTAACAGACACACGTGCTAATCTTAGCCAGAGTTTGGGAGGAGAGAGAGAGATACACTGTTGGAGGAATTTGCTTTAGCAGCAGCTTTTCCAGCTTCTGTTTATGAGCCCCAAATAGGGCATTATATTATGCAGATCTTAGCCTTTAACCATTGAATCTCCCATTCTGAAATTACATCACGACAGATACTTTTTCTGTGGAATCACGAAACCAAAAAATCTCTCATACTGGAAGGTACGGGCAATAATTCACTCTCTGCTTCCTTGGTTATTATCAGAGTTTGTAATGGGTTAAAGATAGTTCCCATTTAACTCAGGATTTCCCGAAAATATGAATTTACAGACTCACTCCTCCTCTCTGCACTTACTCTTTTTAAGGAGTGAAAAATCTGTTACGCCCCCAGAATCTCAGTTTAGCAGTAGCTTGTGCAGTGTTATAATAACTTTGGGAGCCCTCCCTGGCTAGAAGTTTAAGTCATTTTTATCTATCTTTTCTAAAGATGTTAAGAACCATTTTAATCTAGTTTTATCCCTTGCCTTTCTCATTTTCTTCCTTGACAGAGTTCCAATCTCTGGTGAAGTCATAAACAGCATTAGACCAAAGGCAACCTTGGACTGACTCTTCCAATTACCTCGTCCAACAAGCACTTCACACTCAGCATGTGTTTGTACATTTTTATATTGTTTCAGGCATTAACAATTCCCCATACATCAAGTTTATACACCAGATTGATGAGAAATCTTGCAATGTACAGACGTTTTGATCACGTGGTATTGTTACATTTCCATTGTAAAGAAGGCACTTTGTGATTTTCAATCACTCATTACATTGAAATTGTGGATGAAAGAGGGGAAAAAAAATATAAAAAAATAAAATTAAAAAAATTCTAAAAAAAGCAAAACAAAACAAAACCACAACAAACAGCCTGGGGGGAAAAAGCTGCTTTTTAAATATTGTTGAGGTTTTCCACCCTCATACTTGACCATGCTGATTCACCAGATGCAGTTTTGATGATGTTAAACAATGAAATCTTTTAAGGCTTCATTGTACTGATTTCACTGAGTTTTATTTCTGCTTAATTCTCTCATCCTTGAGGAAAAGCAATGCTAACAAGATGGCTAAAAATAATTTATATTCAGTCCCAACCATGACAATCTGAGAAAAAAATTTAAAAGGAGTTGACACATAGCCCAAAGCATGGAATAAGTTTGTGGGTAATTTTATAAAATGAAGTACTAGGCTACAGCATGTATCATGCTGTAGTGTTTATGGCCTAAAATGTAACTCTCCTTCAAGAAGATTTATCTTTCATGAAATCTAAGGCAGCTGTGAGATAGAGGAGAAGGGTCTAATCCAGCTCTGACACTGTCACAAGTCACAGTCCCCTGACAACATGGGCCATTTGCCTGGAAGTTTTACTGAGAATCAGGAACATGTTGCTTATTATCCTTTAATGGGTACAAAAGAGTAATACTTTGCCACATTTGTGAATTTCTATGTTTCTTACAGATGAAACAAGAGCCAGTCTTCCTGTTTCACTACCTTAGAACTCTGTTACATTGCTAAATAATGGCCACTACTCAATTCCTCGATTTGTTATATGAATAGTCATCTATACAACCCATAATATTAGCTATTTTCTTAAGTCTGAAAATTACTAAGAATGATTTTTTTCCTTTGATAAGCGTCTTACAGGATTTAGAGCTAGTTATAGCATTGGCTTCATTAACAGACAAAGTCAATAATGTTCACGGTTCCATGCAGAGCTCAACAGACTCAGTAGATGTTGTGCGTTTCTGGCTGAGTGGGTTGGAAACTCTCCCACCAACATTTAGTTGCCTCCTTTCCCATCTACCACGATGTGGATCCAGCTCACAAGTAGACTGTCATTTTAATACTCCTTGCTGAAACTGGATGATAATTATAACATAATTTGGCAGCTGTTTCAAAGAAGAGCGGAAACAAAGCCTGCTGGAACTTTTATGTAACGCCCAGTGTTGGCGTTCCCATGAACTGGGAGGCGGTTGTGAGGCAAGGACGGCTCGCTCCAGCCAGGCGCGTAAGAGCTGTGCAGCAGATCTCAGACAGCTAATGCCAAAGAGGAATTCCAGCAATCAGACTCACTGAACCTTGGCAGAATGATAATGAATACAAATCCTAATTCTATCTCGATCGCCTTTGATGTTAAATCTGGGCTTAAATGATAGTTGTTGTTAATTGCAGCACTGAAATATTTTGCATAATGATGAGACTCTATTGGTTCCTTTTACCTCATTCATTTTCCTATCTACTGGAGAAAAAAGCCCCACGGTAATCCAGATCTGCAGCAACATACAGATGTAATATATACATTAGCTCTTCACTCTGCTAATCACTAAAATACCGTATCACTAGTTCACAAGCAGATGGCACACACAATACTTTAAGTGACAGACCTCATACTGCATTCCTTGCACATCTGAAAGTCCCGTGTGGAACGCAAGAAATGCAAGAACTAGAGAGTGGCCTGGCCTGGATTTCAGGGATGCTCAACAACTGCGCGTCGCTGCCTTCTGTCGCCACAAGGGGCAATGACGCGCTTCTGAGAACCGGGCAATGCTGCATGCTGCAACTTCACTTAGAGCATTCAGTTTGTGAGAAAATATGTTCTTTTTAAACAGTAACTCGTGACAAGAAGATAAGTTTTAAATCTTAGTAAAACCATCTAGCCATTTTATTAGAAGGAATTACAATAATAACTCCAAATAGACCCCCATTTAAAAAAAAAAAAAAGCCCATAGATTGTTCAGCAAAAACAACATCTAGTCCCTATTCAGTCTTCTGTTGGCACTAAGATCCACATTTTTAGAGCTAACCAAACTAGAAGAGACCATTTTCCACCAGAGGAAACCAATTCAAAAAACGTAACATTTTCTTATAAGGTTCATTTCAATGGATCTTAAGTTCAGGCAGTGGCAGCCTTCCATTTTCTTATGGAACAGCATGGAGTGCTCTCTGAACTTGCCAATTTCAGCACAACAAAGAAAACCACTGACTGCAGGAAGTCTATCTGAATACCATCTGAAGGAGTAAAGAGACAAAGGCAGATATTACAATGTCACGACTATTAAGGTATAGAATCCCAGAATAATTAATGCTGGAAAGTATCTCTGCTGGTCTCTGGTCCAATTGTTTCCTCGGAAGGCCAACTTAGGGCACATTGCTCCAAGCTGAGTCTGAGCATCTTCAAGGATGGAGGTTCTATAAACTCTCTGAGCAATTTAATAGGTAAGGATTAAATCCTCTGCATCAAGCTTTTATGAATGAAGCACACAAATAAAACACTGCTGAGTACACAGCTAAAAACCAAAATTCTGTCAGAAATTGTTTATGTCACATCAAATCAGGAAGGGTCTAACAACACCATGTGTGATCACACCATCAACCTGCTTGCAGGTTTAGAGTAAGACCTACTCAGTATAATAATCAGATAATATTGCTTCATAATTCCCAGGATAAAGGAAATGTTGTTTATATGTTTTATACTTTACATAAGACAATTAAAGAGCAACCCAAAATGTGAGTGGCAGATCTGAGTTCCACTGAGCCTCGACTGTGAGCTCTCAGATACACCTCAGTCCCCTCATGCAGGTTAACCTGTATGAGCAGTTTAATCTCTAATCCTCCCAATACTTCCCATGAGAAAAAGATGTGCTATGATCTCTTGTAGTGGGAACTAAACACAAAGAAATTGAATTGTCCTATGCAAGTGCTTAGGAAAAAAAAAGGATATAGAGGGCTAGGGTGTTGTACCCAGTATCCCCAACCCACCCTAGTGCTCTAGCCACCGAATCTATCATCTCTCTTAAACTAAAACTTCAGGTTGTCCTGATAAAGGAGCAGAATCATGCATTAGATAAAATCTCCTGGTATTTAGTGGCAGCTGGCTGCCTCCTAAATTCTTGTTCTTTTGGAAATCTCAACCTAGAGCCATTTGTAAAGTTCAGATTCAATTTCAGCTGTCCAACTGTTTGAAATCTCACAGTCACCTTCTAACAAGTAAGAGAGCACGGAAAGGGCAAGGGGATGTCAGAGCATTCATTGCACACATAGACTGGTAAAGTTTCTTCTTTGAGTTAGCAGCCAGCCCATGTGGAAAATCTTTGATGCAGCATCATCAGAGACGCCTGGAGCTCTTCACACAAACAGTGTGGGCAGAGGGGGCCAAGGCTGGATTAAATTCCTGGAATGGGTTACCGAAATAGATTCTTCTTGATTAAATCCCTGAACATGTACCTAACATTTTCATGCTTAACTGTTCTTGTATTTTAAAACATTTTAATAAGTGGATGCTGTGGAATATGAACTAACTTGAAGTGTTCACATTTTATGAAACTTATCTTCCATATTACTTTTGCTTGCAAGCACAACAAGGTAACATTAAACTGGTAAGGATATTGTGGTACTCTTTCTGTACTGAAGGTCTATAGGGCACACTGTCCAGCAGTTGGGATATTCCTGCTCCATAACTTTTGATTTGCTTATCAGCATGTCATGTTCCTAAGTATAGACTTAGGAAAACAGGAAAAACAGATGTTTTATATAGCAAGCTCCAGAAAAGAACATCAGATCACCACATCAGTTACAACACGAAAAGAAGGTACCCCTAGACAATGCCTTCATCTGCAGTTACAAAGTAGAAAATGCAAAGGGAATTACATCAGCTTAATCACAACTATGTATTAACAAGCTGCTATTTCCTATACACGGACTTTCTGCTCTAATTCCCAGGCTGCCAGAAAAAAACTTATCTTGTATTTGCAGTTGTCTCCCTAACAGACTGTAATATTTACCCAGCATAAACACCATAAACGTGGCTTTGTTAGACAAAATAACCTGAATAACCTGTTCTTCCTAATCATCATTAAAGGAAAGTTCTCTGGAATTATTTCTGAGTTTTCATTTTAGTCTGTTTTTATTTCAGTCTTTCAAGTGACTTCATAAACTAGACCTTTTTTTCTTTTAAATATTTGTTTCCTTCCTCTTCTTTTCCTTGCTCATGAACACCCACCTGTTAACCTGCTCTCATTCTCAGTCCCTTGGTATTCTCTACCCCAAGTAGTCTAGGAGAGATTTCATGGTTAGACTTGACTATCTTTGGTGCCATCTACAGGCAAGCTCTGGTTTGCCTCAAAAATACTCAAAAAAATTATTGATAAATGCTTTGTAATCTCAATGTGGTCTTCTCACAAGGATTATTTCTTGAATGTTCAGTAAACCCAACACAACTATCAGATCCCCTCTGAGTCCAGGCCATACTCAATTCCTTTCCAGGAATCTGAAACAAAGGCAAAGGTTTCCCAAATGGAAAGACTGGATCATTCAGTTTATATATCCAGCAGTTCAAGATAAACTGCCCTTAAAGTAACTGGCTCAGTTGATCTTATATAGTCCAGAAAACTTTGCTTTCACAGTGTTCCATTTAACACACAGCATGGGTTAGAATAGAATAGCATAGTTGGTGCTTCTCCTAAGCATTCCTCTCTTGAAGAAATGATCAAAGGAAACTAAGATGTGCAAGATGAGGTTTTGTCTGTATTTTCATGTATATAATTTCTGAAGGAAAATTCAGAAATTTCCACAAGCTTTCATAAGATAGCCAAGTGGAGGAGTCTGTTAATAACCAGTACAAGAAAAGCTGCAGCTTGAGCTTAGCTACTGTTGGATCCTTAGAGAAGTTTTTTTTTTCAGTACAGAAAGGAAGAATCAAATATCACAGAGTTCACTGCTCAGTTGCACTCCTTACCATTAATTGTTGCCTGCTCCTGTGTGTTGCTGAACAACTGACAACCTTCATTCTATAAATGGACACACTTACTATCATGATTTAAAATGTGCACCATGCAATGAATTAACACATTAACACATTCAATGTTAGAATTTTGTAATGTGAAGTACATATTTCAATAATTGGGTAACAAAAGCTTATATATCATCTCATTAAAAATACTTTGGGCTTATCTAAAATTGAAAGTTTTATCTGTGAGATTCTACTTTTATGTTAGATATATCTATTACAAATCTATGATTATTAGTATTATTGGAAGACTATTAGGGTAATTGCAGGAGTAGAAAAAATTCATGGGTAATTCCTATCAGGATCGGGCCCTTAAAAGTCAAAGTCTACCATGAAGATGTCCATTTCTTGCTATCATTAACCAATAAAAGAAGATTTGGTGTTTTTTATTCACAGATCAAAAATAATTCACTAGGCTAAAATCCAGATGTAAGCTGAGAGGATTTACTAAAGGTCAGAAGAGTTGGCTCCTGCAGGGCAGCTCCCCTGGTTTGCCCTGGGACCCAGGGTGCGACTGCCTCACTCATCAAACCTGGCTGTCCTCAGGGGCCATGGTTTCATGTTGGCCTTTGCAGTTTATCTATCAAATTCCTTAGTCCTAACTACCCCAACATCCCAATTCCAATGGAAAGAGAAAAGGCTAAAGGATGAACTAGACAGTACAATGTTGATTTCCTCTCCAGGGTACATGGTAAAAGATTTTTGTTATGTTTGTTTGCTAATACAGCTCTAACTGTTTTACCAAATAGAGAAAAAGGAGGTAAGGTAATGGATCAGATGCAAGTGTTAATCTTTGCCAGCCAAGGTACAGGCACCCATCATCACTTGTGCATTGTAGCAATTTTAAGTATGAAAAAAATCCAGAGGCTAAAATCCTGGGTTTTTTAGAGAATAATAATAAAACTCTTACTGATTTCAAGACAAGCACTGTATTTACCACCAAATTCTGTGAATTTATGTTTTAGTGAAGTATCTATTTCCAAAAGTATCTTCTTGTATGAAGAAGATCATAGTCTATCTTCCTAGGTTTCAGAGATCATTGATGGGAAAAGCCCATTAATATGAAATAAAGTTAGGCCAATCAAAGATTGTTGATTGAGGTTTGTAATGACCCTCACTGTTTGCTGCTTTTTGAACAAAAAGCGCTTTTTTTTCCCCAGATCTTTAACTGCTTTTATTCATCTCTTCCTGCTTATTTCAGCTGCTGATTCATTTTACTACAAAACCTTTTTTGTCAAAGTGAGTCTGAACTGCAAGTCCAAAGACTAACTCACCAAAGTCTTTGGAATTCTTGACCAGGATGGGAGTGGCTTTATTGAGGAATATGAACTGAAGTAAGTAAATAAAAAATAAATGAGTTACCAACAGGCTTGTGTTTCATTGTCCCAAAATGCAGCATAGGATCAGAAATGCTCCCTTTCCTTCTGTCTCTTTGGATGGGAGACAGCTGGGTGTGCTTGTGTGGGTGCACACATGCACGTGTGAGTGCTTGTGCTGAAAGAGCTGCAAGACAAATGATGAAGAGAAAACACCCTGATAGCACTGACAGTACTTGTTTCATGTAGGGATAACTGATAGACTGCAAAGATAAAAATAGCAGTTCTGCTAGAATTTGCTTCTTATTATTGCAAAATTTCTTACTAGACTGAAATCAAAGGGCTGTATTTCTCTCATCTTTCTTTCTATTACATGAATTGTCTTCCAGATCATATTCATACGCCTTTGAAGTTAAAAAGTAGGGTTAGAAAAATTCTTGCTATTCTTAAGAGTCTACATCTTAGCAGAAAAGAAGGAAGATAACACAGGAGAGAAGATAAATCCTGCCACTGTGAAGTCAGTTTTAATTTTGCCTTTTTTAATTCCATGAAACCAAAATGTCATCAAGGATTTTTACACCTTGTGATGCAACATGCTCTTACTTTCATACCCTTTTTCTCACTGGAGTTAGAAGAATTTTTGCCATTGAATTCAAAATTATTTGACAAAAACTTTTGAAATAGTCTGAAGAGTTTTAATCAGGCTTGGAATTTTACAGCTATTACCAATACCAAACTCTAAATGTTTCTGGTACTGAATATGTCTCACTCATTTGTCCTCTCACCTTTTACAGACATTTCCTTCAGAATTTCTCAGCTAGTGCCAGAGCTCTGACTGATGCTGAGACAAAAGCATTCCTAGAGGCAGGTGACAGTGATGGAGATGGTAAAATTCGAGTGGAAGGTAAGACTATCATTAGGAAACAGAGTAATGTCTGCCTTTGAGACTTCCTAATGGCTAGCTCTAGGGAGCTCCATATATTGGATGTTATGGATCTGATCTGAGGTGCTCAGATCTCCTCTGTACTGTTGAGAGAAGCTAAAATAGAAGCCAGTCTATATTCTGCCCTTGGTCAGTCCTTTTCTTCATCTACAGAGATTTTTTCAGGACTGGAACCTAAATTGATATAAATATAATAATTTTTGTATATAATTTCACCACTTTTACTATTGATCTATGGTACAATGTGACATTTAAATGCAACACTTCCTTTGTCTTAAGTATCTATTACTACCAGTATACAATTTGCTACCTTCAAGGAAAGATTATCAGAGATGTACCATTAGTTTCCCATTTTAACTCTAAAAATTAAGAAAGTACTTTTTTTGATTGTGCGATTGCAAAACATGGTCCCATTTTATTTTTCTTTTATTTACTTTTCAGAGTTTCAAGCTCTGGTCAAATCTTAACAAGCAGTCGAGAGAAAGACCAAGGTATCTGTGCCATTAGCTTTCCTATTGCAAGCCTGCTATTTGTTTACATGTTTTGTACCCTGGAAGGTTGTGAACAATTGCTGGCAAGTGATTTGGTATTGCTGGAAAACATTTCAAGTAGTGCAGCAATACTTAATCCATGTTCCTCAATGTTTTAAGCAGAAGGTCCTTATACCATTGAGAGAATGAATTGAAATCCACCCTACTTGTCTGAATTTTGGGCATTAAAAATACTAGTAAAAATATTAAAAGGAGAAATCAAAAGCATCTCTGTAGGCCATTTAATTTTCAGTATTTGCATAAATAGCTAGCACCTGTTGTAAAAAAAACAGAATTAATAAAATGTCCAGGTGTAAAACATGATTATGGTAACCAGTAGCACTGGTATTTAATCCCTGGAAAGGTGATGGAACAAC